AACAGCTGTTTGTTGAATGTTTAAGTGCTAGTAAATGTGAAATGATTTCAACAACTGAAGTCATCCATAAGGTTAGTTGTGCGTCAAAGGGGCTGTATTTGTCGTTATTCATGTGCCATTTGCTTAAGTTGATGATATTCCCATGTGAAGTGGGTTATAACCCTGGTTACAAGTACAGCAGGCAAAGAGAGGCAATATTTTCAGTTAAAAACGGGTTGAACCAGCCCACTTACTGCAGTGAACCAAGTACGCAAACATCAAACACCTCATCGATACACGTCTAAGGTTCATTTTGTTGTCGTTAAACCCATCAAACAATAACAGTTTCTATTACAAAACACAATGTATTATGATGTGTAATTCCTACAATCATCTCTTATAATAGTCATTGTATTGATTCATCCAATAGTTGTGATATATTATTTATAGTTGTTTTTTTCTCTATTTAGCATATGATAGTTGTGATATTATGTTTAATTGTACGTCAAACTATTGTGATATATTGCAGACATTGACATATTTAGCTAATATGTTAATTATGTTCAACTATCTATTTAGATCTACTAATATAACTATTTAACTATAGTCTTTCTTAAATGCATATTTATCAAACAGAAAGCGCCTGTTTTTTTACCCCTAGGACCTGTGCCAGCTTGTGCCAACCTCCTCCGGGACCTTCGCCGTCGCCGTGCGCCGATCATGTTTGGTGCATTTTTGTGCCTGGGATTGGGGGGGTTGAACATGGTTTAGCCAAAAAACAAATGTAAATATATAATAATATAATATATATATATATATAATATACATATTATAGATTATTATAATAGATTATATAGATTTTATAGATTATATAGATTATACATATTATATAGACTGTATAGATTATACAGGTTATATAGATTATATAGATTGTATAGATTATATAGATTGTATAGATTATATAGATTATATAGATTATATAGGTTATGTGTATGATTATATAGGTTGTGTGTATGATTATACAGGTTGTGTGTATGACTATATAGATTATATTGATTATATTGATTATATTGATTATGTGTATGATTATGCAGGATTATGTAGATTTGATACGCTGTGCGCAGCAATTTGACCACCGGAAATTGGCAGTAAGGCAACAAAGATGGGGATTTGACTTCGAAAGACTGGGAGTTGAACCAACATGCACAAGAACTATAACGTACAAAATCGGAGTTCCTCATGCATATACAAATCTACGAAGGAAAACAGGATTTCACTAACATAAATTCAGGTTCAGCATACTTAACATCGATACATCGGATTTAAGCAGGATTTAATCAACAATGAATAGAATCAGGAGCTTGTAGACCAAGGTTATGGGGATGAAAACCCTCTCCAAAGGGGTTTTATCCCCGATGGATGGATAATATATGGTTAATAATTAATATGTATTAATATGTTATAAGTCAACCATAGATGGCCATGTTCAGTAACAAACTGTTAAGTTAACCAGAGGCTAGTTCTTGTTGGCGGAAGTGAATCGATTCACCCTTCGGGATAAGCTGAGGCGATGTTAGTATCCTGGTTGCGTGGCAAAATGGACCAACATAAGACAGAATAGTTATATAATATTATACTGATAGTATATAATTGGCAAAATCATCTATCAATTGGATATTTGGTTGGTGGTTTAGAACTTTTTTTCCATATAATTATTGGGAATAATCATCCCAACTGACTAATATGTTTCAGAGGGGTAACTTATTATAGGGGGTACCAGTTCCAACAATATATATTTATCGCTATGTTGGGGTGACCCATCGCAATTGGTAGTCAGGGTTGAATACATTAGTCCGGTGATATGAATTACCATGGCCCTAGATACCCATAGGATCCATGTATGCTATATATATGGTAACATGGATCCCATCAATATACCCCAAATGTTAGCATGCATACCAGCACCATGGATCCTATGGGATATACAACAGGTGCATAAAACATCATAAAACTCTAGGTGAACTTCCACGGATCGGAGTTGTTCGACCTTGACTTCACGCAGTTTCGACGCCAGGTACAGCCAGAGGTATCCCACACCCATGCCGAGTCTCGCAGAGATTTGGGACGTTTTGAAGTCACGGTGTTGGGATGTTGGCAGCATTTGTTGATCTTACGAATTGGAGATGCCTCAATATCTATGAAATCATACTATAATTATCTATAAGTATTCAGAACGGCATTCCATTTAAGAACGGCAGTCCATAAAGATTACAGAAACATTACAAAAACATTCATTGACAAGCCATGTTTTTCACGTGAAGGCGCTGGGCTACCAAGGTTTTACTGTACATTGGGGCCGTCTTGATAGAAAAAACCTTTGGTAAATGTTTACAGTTTGCTATTGAAAATCACTTTATGTTTATTACTGGTTGGTGGTTTGGAACAGTTTTTATTTTCCATTTCATATATGGGATGTCATCCTTCCCATTGGCTAATATTTTTCAGAGGGGTAGGTATACCATCAACCACATGAGGTAAATCAACTATAATCAACTTTTCAGGGTGTGCAATCCCGATCTGATTCCCAACATTATCCCAGCACTGCAGTGGTTATTATGTTTCCCAAAGCCTCCCGCGCAATGGGCAGAGCATGTTTGTAGATTCCCATAATTGTTCTACTGACCATTGTGGACTACAATCCCGCGGTAGATTATATTGTAGAATATGATATAGATATATATGTTACATATAATTACACACATAATTGACATACTGGGTTTGTTATATACATACATATACATATACATATATATATATACATAATTAACATACTGGGTTTAAAAACATGTTTGGACGACCACTAACTATCAAAATGTGTGGATTGACAAGAGATTATGTTGATTTTTACCATGTTTGTTGTTGCTAATCCAAAAATGTTGATACTCCAAAATATATGGGGATGGGTCAAAACCTTGTACCCCTAGTGAACCCCAAAATAGTTGGTAAATGGATGTTCATCCCATTAAAAATGGTATGTATAGGTATTGACCCATACCCATATGTTCATGGATTACCCTAGCCTTTTTAGCCTCCCATCTCTTTCTGAATCTCAGGGTGCCTTCGCCCGCCCTGGCCCCGACGCCTTCCCCTACGGCTGTGGCTCCGGCGCCGTCGACTGAAGCCAAGTGCAGCACGGACAGATGGGACGCGGTGGCGCTTCGTGGTGCACAACAAATAGTTGCTGGAACCCAAGGAACAAGGAAATGAACTTCGGCTATGTCATTTAAATATATTGTATATATAATATATATATATTATATATGCATAGAAATACCATATAACTATGTATCAAATGATGTATATAATATATGAAGGACATATAGATATAGTGTAATATATATATATATTGTATATATATAGTGTGTGTGTATATCTATTGTATATATATATATATATATATATTGTATATATATATTGTATATATATATATATTGTATGTATATATATATATTGTATATAGATATATTGTATATAGATGTACATAGTATGTATGTAGTGTATATATATATATACACTCATTTATATATTATATGCTGTATATGTACGTAGGCAAGGGATCTAGGAGGTGTTTGCTAATGTGACTTGTCTCAGCAGAAATGATGGTAAGGCGAGATCGTCAATGGTTTATATTTTGCCCAGAGGTATGGCAGTGGATAGCAGTGGGGCCAAGCCTAATATTGTTTTGATGGTGAAATAGGTGTGACTCAATACTCGTAGAAAAAGCAATCTCAATATGACAAACATTAAGTTAATATTTAAAGCTGACACCATGGGCTATAGGATTGACCCAGCAACCAAATAGCCGCTAGCCACTGATCCGTGCTATCATAGAGCTCATATCTTCGAATCTGGCTCAAAGCTGGTTTGTATAGACAGAGTCAGTTTGGTCTCCGAAACAATTCATTTGAGCCACGTTCAAAACCCAGTAGTTCATTTTTGGTGAGGGAATGACAATAAGGACCTCGCGTAAGCAAAACCCTGGTCTGCGTCAGCCCGCATAAGCAGCGCACAAGCTGCCGCATAAGCATTCTCTTATCGCCTCCACAAAGACAAGACCTTTTGGCCACGGCTCATTTGTGCAGATTCTTTGTAAGTACATAAGCCCTGACCTGCAGACAAGAATGAGTCTGTCCTATTGTGCTAAAACAGTATGTGTGTATGGATCAGAAAACTAGATTGCCATGTCTCCCTTACGTCTCCCTTTCATGCCAAATTTATCTAGGATGCTGAATGAGTTCAATTCTTTTCAATACACGTACTATAGAACATACCATTTCACATTTCGTTATTGTATATATGCGTATGCGTTGTATGATATTTACATATGTCCAAACCATGCGCATGTAGATTAGCATTTTAGATTTGCATTTCCAAATACGTCCTCAAGAGGGACGACTAACCCCCTGAATCATGCCCCAGTCATGGAAGCGAAGGTACGGCCAAGGATATGTTCGTATATGTAAAGAACGTAGCCATTATACACTCATGAAATGGTATACCATGGTATACCCATATACATGGTAACCCCGAAAAAGAAAGAAAAGGTCAACGTTGTCACTTTTCAAACAGGATTGTACTATAAATACTATCTCAATTTGCGGTTAGACTATATATAGACTATTATAATCTATTATAGTGCGAATAGAGTGTAGGCTACGGATCACTGTATATATGCATAATCATACACTCTAGGATCCATCGTCAAAGGGGCACTCCGACATTGGCCTCTTTGGCTCAAGACATACTGCAGCTACAGGGAAAATGAGAGCCATGCGGAAGCTGCCGCCCTCGTGAGGTCGTCATTGCAACTGCAAACATCAACATCAATTACTGGAATATAATCGGGAAGGCAATCCCCGATTCGCAGGTTATCAGCCGTAGGACTCCTACGGAGCCTACGAGCGGGTAGCCGCGGGCCTTACAGATGACTGAACAGGATAGCAGCGATAATGCATTTTCTTTCTCTGGCCATGCCGTTGCACCAGCTGCCGGCACGCAGTCAAATTCTTCACAGAGTATCGACACTGGTGGAAGCGATGCCTCAGAACTGAGAGCGAGCCAACCCAGGCGACCTCTGGTTGCTCCTAGAGGGAGACAAATTTCGACAATGCAAGCAATTGAAGATAGGGACAGCACACCTGGAAAGAGAAGATCATCTGCACGACAATTGTCGCCTCCGATGACCCCAAGGACTAAGGCAAAGACTACGTCGTCGAATCCGCCTCCACCGATTCAAGACGCTACTCCATCAGGGACAGGATCTTATCAGCAAGTGAACGCCCCGTCGAGTGGTAGCGACATCTTCACTGCCTATCAGAGTGAATTAGCTGAATACAAGACATCACTGGAAAGGGCCACTGAAGAAGAATCCGTACTTCAGGCAAGATTGAGCGAGACGACAGCATATGCCTATCAACAATTTAATTTCCTGGAAAGCACCACTCATCAAGAAATGATGTCGATGACCGAACAACTCCAGATGCTGAACTTCGAGTTACAGGCTGCACAACAGGAAGATGAAGGTGCGACCTACAGGATCGAAGAGTTGGAAAGGTATCAGACTATGTCGAATGAAGCTGCATCTCATTTGAAATTCAAATATTCACGACTACGTTCGGAATTCGATGAACAAATGGGACAAGCAAACGCAATTATGGTACATGTGGGAACTGACGCGAATGCTCACATCAATCAACTCAGACTGGAACTGGAAAACGCAGAGATGAATGCCAAGCAAGAAGCTCTAGCAGTCGGCTATGCTAATGACCAAACATGTGCGTTGCAGATCGAGATGCTCGAGGTTGCCAATCAGAACCAGACGATGAAGCACACCATGGCCATGAATGTCAGGCGACTGGAAACTGAGTTAGATGCTGCTGACATGAAGAGGGACGAGATCATGAAGGAGTTCCGTAGTAACATAAGATCTGAACATGACCGTTATGCAGAATGTGAACATCACTTAGCTTTGGAAGAATCACAGCTTCGATTACAGGTGATCCACAGTGAGAACTTACAATCTCGACTAGCGATTTCTGAGAACAGGGTTTCTGAAGAATCTCTAGCTGAATCAGGTGGCATGCGGGACATGAGGATAATGGGACTACGTTCTGAACTACACATGAAACAAAGTCTTTTAGATCGAATGCAACAGCAACTGACTGAATCGAAGAATCAGTATCATGAACTTTCCTGTCAACAAGCCAGAAGATCATCACCAAGCAGATCACCGCATGGAGGACCTCTCTATGAGATGTACATGCAAGCCGTGCGTGAACGTGACAGCTTGAAAGAATCCAAGGCCGAAGTTGACAAGTTGTACTTGCAGACTAGATCTGAACTCATTGATACTGAGGACCTGCTCAAAGTATTCCAGCGAAACTTTGATGAAACTGGTAAGAAATATCAAGATGCTCTGAACAAGATCGATCACATGAGCAACAATCCGAATGTGACGAGTACCTTGTTTGACAGTTTGCACAATGAACTCAATGACAGGGATACAGCTATTGCTCGCCTTCATACTGAACTTGAAGCCCAAAAGGACTCTCTTGAGCGTGCTCACAGGGATGCAGGTAAGTCCATCAAGATGTTAAACGACAGAAGACTCGTGATCAAAGGTGCGACTGACTATTCCATTCCTGAAAGCCATTTGACCGAGATGCATCAATTGGCCAATGAGCGTTACGCTGAGGTAGAAGAAATGTCGAGCACCATTGCTGCCCTGAAGTTGGAAAACCAAGCTCATTCTTCTTCATCAATGAATAGACCGACTACATTACATGGGTACCCCAGTAATGCCATGCCTCGGAATGAATGTGAAGAGAAGTGTGCCAAACTGAAAGCAGAGTTGGACGAGATGAAGCAAGAGAGGAACGCTGAAGTTCGAAATCTTCAGGATGAGTTGGAGAAGATGGAAGATCGTAAAGATTACTATAAGAACAATTTCTCTCAAGCTGAAGATCGTGCCAATGATGAAGAGCAGGAATACCGAGCAGAAGCTGAAGCCTTCGAGAAGCTCAGGAACGAGTACAACGCAAATGTCAAGGAGTTGGAGAACCTTGAAAGGGATAGATCCAAGCCATCTGTATCTCTAAGAGAAGCCGAAAAGATCAGCCTCCAACCCTGGCCTAAGACCACTGAACTTTCATCCTGGAAGGGAAGTGTCGTTCATGAAGTTTGCGTTGCAAGTGGAGATCGAAACTATGAAGATTGGAAGGCGTGGTTAGCTCCGTGTCTTGCAGATCAACCTGACTTGGAGGCGCTGGCCAAAGCTCCTGATGTGAGATTCCAATCCATTGACGCCAAGCTCTCCAATGCCTTGAGGAAAGTCATTGACAATGCTGGGGACAAGTCCATGCAAGTGAAGTATGACATGTCCATGAAGAACCAATTGTATGGGAGGAGTGGGGACTTCATCAAGGGACGAGAACTATTTGCAATGATATTGATTAGCTTCAAGTCACCTGACCACACTGAAGTTCTCTACAATGCCCATCATTTGTATATGTTCAACTACTATGGAGATGACCAACTTGAGGCCTTCTACAACAAGTGGCTTGACATCGTATACAATATGAAACATGATGATCTACCTTCCAATAATTCCCTGCGTGACACATTGTTCCGGAAGATTGAACATTCAAAGCTTATGGCCTTCGATATCAACCGATACAAAACCTTTGATGAAGGGCATCCTGAGAAGACCTATGCTTACCTAACTGGTATGATCAAGGGATACATAGCACGAGGGAAGCAAGAACGACTGTTGAAAGATAGAGAACGTGCAGTGAAACTGTCATTGTCCTCTAACAAGACGACACCTTCCTTAGAAGATGCAGACAAGCCTGCCGCTCCCGTCAAGACCAAGAAGGAGAATGAAGCGGCCGCATCGTCTACAGGTGATCCTCCCAAACGTCCTAAGGCGAAAGCGAAGAGTGAAGCTGCATCGGTACTTCCTACACCTTCTCCGAAATCCCATGCTGACAAGAACAACAAGAAAGGGAAAGGTGGGAAGGGAAGATCATCTTCACCCGTTGACAAGAAGAAGATTTTCTGTAACTACTTCTTCAATAAAGGAGGATGCAACAAAGGGGACAAATGTCTTTACAGTCATTCTCAGAAGGTCTATGATG